CTGTGTTTCACCTCAGCAAGGTGAAATCCTCAGGCAAAATGCAGATGCAGTGCTTTCCTTGTGCATGTACACCTCCCTCCCCCCCCCCCCTCAACTTGCTCATCTTTAACTGATGATGATACTGAAAATAAACCATCAAGCTGGGTTCACATCAGTCAGGCTCTTGCAGGCAGGATCGTCTTGCCCAGGGCTTGAAGACAGCATTTGTCTTGGAAGTACAAAAAATGGAAAACCTTTTCCTGAAAACAATAGTGACAGAATAACTATTTTCTGCTATCGGTGAGCTGATGTGCTGAATTGCTCTTAGAAGCACAGAAATTGTGACTTATGTTAGTGGTCCAGTTAGATGCTCAGAAGTTGTTGGGGTTTTTTTCTTGTTGTTTTTTAATACTTTCTCTTTGCCCGTAGCAGTTTGCACTCTTCAGAGGCTGCTCTTTGTTAGTCTCTGGATCGAGGGAAAGGAGTCTGCCTCCTGCTTGTCTTGCTGTCTTTCAGTCCTCTTCCAACTTGGCTCTGAAGTACCACAGCATCCCTTGACTCCTTTCGGAGGGACTATTGGAGCAAGGCTGTCTGGCTTTAGGCCTTAAACAGTTGATCTTGTGAGAGCTAGGCTGCAAAGTAGATAGCTGCCAGAAAATCAATTTGCTGAGTGTATGGGAGGAATAACAGTACATTACTGCTTTTATTTTTTTTTAACTCAGTCTAGCCATTCTTAGAGGTCATCATATAATGCTAGATGGAATAAAATGACTAGAGAAAAATAATGAACACAGGATACTTTTTTTTTTTGCCTGAGTTTTGTATTTCTATGATGGTAGAGAGAATTTTCAGCTTAACTAACGTGTGCAGGCTGACTGTGCAAGTAGTGAGAGACTGGCTGCAAAAGTAAATTCAGAGATGTTCCAGTACAGCCTTTCAGAGGTCAGGCTTGTAAAAACGCCACAGTACTGGAGGGTGTCACTAGTGAAGTGTTAACCTTGTTATTTTTCAGTGATCAGTGTCTAAATGGAAATGAACCCAATAAACAATGCCTGTGGCTCTGGGATTCTTGAGGGCTCTAATAGCTTTCATATATTTACTCTGGTAGAGAGATTTAACATAAAATCCCCTCTGCCTGGAACCACTCACCTGCTCGATTTTGTGCTTTTCCTTTGAGATGCTGATACATAGCATGGTGGGTATTGAATTCTCTACTTCAAATTCAGTTATCTTCCAAATTTTCCATTTATTAAATGTGTTTGAATTCCTTTGGGAATCTCTTGTCCACGTGTATCTATTTTTTCCATTTCACAATGAAAAGATAGTGACCATGCAGTAGTTATTGTACCTCGTTACTTGGTGATTCTCAGTCTCATCCAGCTTTATATTGGATTGGATCTGCAGAAAATACGATGGGGTTTTGTTTGGTTTGTTGTTGTGTGGGTTTTTTTTTAAAGTGCTATTTTTTTTCTAAACAGTTCATTGTATTAGACATGTGTCCCAGACCTACATTAGCCTAAGGGAGTGTAGGACAGTTCTTGTTGGATGATGACTCCACTGAAGGTTTTTAGACTGTCGTTAAGTTCTGGATCTTCAGTAGATACTCAGAGGTTTGAAGAAGACTTCTTAAATCTTGCATCTGCAAAACTGCACATCTTTGGTCGCGTTGTTGATACTTGCTTCACCATAGTGTTAGACAGTAAACTGAGCAGATACGAACAAGCACTGTAGGAGGAGTCGGTCATCCCTTTGTTTTCTGGAGGCGTTTAAGAGGCTTGAAAGTAGTCCGACTTAATGAAAAGCTGTGTTGATGTCTCCAGCTTGTTAAGGATGGAGCGGTGGGTGTAGGTACGCAGTAATCCATCAGTAAGCAAAATTCATGTCCTCTGGGCAGTGAGGTGTGGCTATAATGTGTTAGTGAACTTGTTTTCTTTTGCTTGGTGTAGCTCTGGGGTTTCTCATGTCTTGGCTATGGCCTGAGGACGTGGAGACCAGACTTGCCAGAGCGGCTGTGGTGAAAGGGGTGTGGGCCGTCGAGCCAGGTAAATACACAGTGGCAGCCTGGAAGGACTGGCTTTATTTAGCCTGTTACAAATGGGACAGACTTGTGCTGTGCCTCTAGGACTCAAGGGTACAAACTAAAAAACAAACCTACTTCTGGTGAAAGCAAGCTTACTGATCATTCTGGAAATTCATAAAACATACTGTTTAACGCATAAGACATTTTAGAGATATTTGTCTAATGTAAGGTGCATAACAGGAGAGGTGTTGGCCATCAAATTATCTCTCAGAATATTAGTTCATATTTCCTGAGAAATGTGTGCTTATACTTGGTGCTGGCTCCAAAGAGCTACAGGAGACTTGAAAATGGGCTGCTGAAACCTTCAGAAGTACAGCAGATACCCTTGCAACCCTGTTAACTGGCCAAATGGGAGGGCAGCCTTCTTGAGGGCGTTTAGTGCATGTCTAAAGCGCCTGAATTTGACTGTGCCACTGGTTTGCTCAAGTGCCTGCTTGGCAATGCTGATCATTTGGGGGATTTTTTTTCTCTTGCCTTTCTGTTCTTGGATGCTGAGAGGACAAGTGGGCAGAAGATGGGAGGGATAATGGAATAATAAATACGGTGCCGGGTAAGAGGAAGGATCAAGAGGTGCTCAGGGACGTGAGGTGCCTATCTCTTCGTCTTCCCTCTCAGTCCACTTAAAACAAAACTTTCACAAGATAAGAGTGCAGGATGTAATTCAGTCAGGGTTGGAACAGAAGCAGCTTCCTCCTTTCACCTCAACAAACATTGCTTGTTGTCTCAAACCAAAGTGAGGAATACTTTTAGTTACATATCTGGCAAGTTCTCCCCATAAAGTGGATGAACAGCCTTCTGGCCACGTGTGTTTGCTGCCTGCTGAGTCACTCTGGGCTGCCTGGACATATGCTTACCTGGTATCTGGAGCTCCATGGACTTCTCCATGCACAAGGACATAGCCTGTGCACAACGTTTGCATGCTAATCTGGATTTGTCCTCACAGCCTGTTCCCACAGAACTGGCCCCGCCTCGCTGGTGGCAAACTGGTGCTCACCATCATAACGCCATGGCGGTGTGGTCGAGGCTCACCACGTTAACGCCGTGTCTGCGTAGGTTTGGGGAAAGCACAGCCTAGATTCCCTGGATTCCTGTCCAGTGTTCTCGCCAAAGAGCTCCTTCTCTTGGCATAAGTTTTCTGCTTTGAAATGTCATGCTTCTGTTTTAATTTTTTTTTCTGCTTATGCTGTTCTTTCTGGAGACCCTGGGAGACGAGGTGTTAATGCCCTACACCAAGTGCCTCAGCCTAGAGGAGCTGGAGCTGTTACACTACAGTCCGTCTCACACAGGGACCTGTGGCCTCGCCAGCTGGCCAGCAAGAAGATGCGTGTTCCTTCGTGTACTTTTTTTCTTTTTCTAAAATAGCTTTAGCCTCGTATTTTTGTGATCCCAGTGTACTTAGGGAGAAACAGTGCTGCTTTTTTTTTTTTTTCTTTTCTTTTTTTTCATGGATGTCTATAAAAAGTTCCCTGTAGCAGTTAGTGCCACACAAAGAATTTGTTTTTCTGCTTCCAGAGGCCTTTGGCTTCTGCGGCAATTGGTGGCTTTTCACTGTGAATTTGGCACAGCCTGTTCCCAGGTCTGGCTGGGTGACCTTGCTGCTTTCTCCTCACCTTGTGCATCTCTCACCTGATTGGAAATGGAGTAAAGGAGGGGGTTCAGAGAGCGGTTACTAAGCAGCAAAGAGGCAGCATTATGTCTGTGTCAGGTTGAATGAATAGCTGCAGTGTTTGGAGGCACTGAGGAATTTTGGAAGCACAGTCCAGTGAGTCACAAAAGGTCTTTTGGAGGGAGGCAGGGGGAAGAAGGCACTGTTGGGATGCAGCTGATACTGTGTCAGAAACTTTAATTGTGCTGAACTTGATATCACTTGTGGCTCTCCTGGGGTCTCAGAAGCACCAAAATATTTGAACATTAGTCTCGATATAGTGAAAGCATATTTAAGAGTGTCTTAACCTACGTGACACCTCCTGCTCAGCACGCTCGGCTGCAAAGATCTGGTGTGCTCCCACAGCTGAAGCTGCCTTAATTTCTATTGGTATATATATTTCTATTGTGTTGAGATCTCCAAACAGAGCATTACAAGTCAGCGGAGGTTGCACTTGAGTTTCTGGTAGAGCAGATTGGCTATATCGCTCCTGGAAAGTAGCAGCCAAGGGAGAACTGATAGTAGGAGAGTTCTTCCAAAATGGGAATACAGGATCTGTGTCACCTCCACATTCCCTGGCATTTTGGTTCGTAGAGGGTTGATCGGCCACAGCCCTGAACAGCACAATTACAGAAGTGGATTCTGGCACCACGTGCGACTGGCAAACCTCGGCGGCCCGGGCCCCTGCAGAGCCCAGGGTGGCTGCGGAGAGCCCATTGGATGCTGCTCTGAAGTTGCTGTGCTCTGCTGCTGGCTTTGGGAGCATTTCAGCTCCTTTCCTGTCACTCTGGGGAATGCATCCTGCTGGCCCTGCTTAGAGGACTGCAAGTTGCACAGGCTGGTGGTAGGCATTCCCAGGGCTTGAGTAGTTTTCTGTGGGCTGGGTCCAGCTTGCACTTAGCGAGCTTTGCTCTGAAACACTGGCTTTTGACTGGTGCCAAGGACCAGTCACCAAAAATGAAGAATCTATGGTTTGATCTGTTTTGAGGAAAGGCTTCAAGTACAGCAGTTTTTGCAGAATTCAAAAGGAGCTGGATGTCCAGGACCCATAGAAACAAAGCCTTATTTCTTTCATTAAATTTAGACTCCAGCTTTGAAAGGAAACAGAGCATCCTGTTAGGCTTTGACTTTCCGTGATACAAACATTGCCCTATTTAGTAACTTGCATTTCATTCTTAATTTTTGTTCTTCTATCTCAGAAGTAATGTGTAAATTTCTAAGGAAATGAACAGTATAGCTTTTTAGATTGGAAGCACACCTTGACTAAAATCTTGTTTCTTTCCCCCTTCCTCCCAGGAATTCTCAGAACTGGAGAAAAGAGATCCTCAGGAGCTAGTTGGTAAGTTTGCTCAGAAGTATTTATTCACACATTTTTTCAAACTAGACTTTCAACGCTCCCGCTCTTATAAAAAACATCTTCACTCTGTCCTGACAATGCTGTAGTTTGAATTATTGCCTGCGATGTTTTATCTCAGTGGAATATTTTCAGTGAAAGTCGTCTTTTGGAAGAAAGGTACCATGCCTAAAAATATGGAAATATTTTTATATATTGCACATCTAAGATGTATGTGTAAAGAGCAGTGTTGGTAGTTTGTCTAAATGAGCTTAAAAACAATAGAGCAGTAGCTTTGTCCAGACACCTCTGTAAGAGCCAATGTAACCAGGAATGATGACAGATGCTTTGATGAGTGGCTTCAAAAACTTACCTAAAATATCCCCTCTTAAATGTGATCCACGTAGCGATTTATAGCTGCTATGTTGACATAGCGTACCGTACGTTTTCTAACAGTTACTGAAACTTATTTGATTTTAGTGACATCTCACTTATTCGTTGGACCATTATTAGATTTGGAAACTTCAGGGTCATCAGCTTGAAAAAGTATCCTCTGCTTGGTCTTTGTAGAGCTGTACAGAAAGTGTATTTTATGTTGAAGCTCTGACTATCTTGAACTAACCCTTTGTTCCTGAGGTTACCAGTACAGTTGTGTGGTAGCATGTAATAATACCATAAAAAAAAAAAAAAGAGTATAGAAGTTGCTTCATTATCTATTAAGTCAGCTTGTCAAGGCTCAGCATTATATTTCAGCCACAAGGTGTGATAACTGTAAAATAAGACAGTAAATACTAGGATGCTAAGCTGTGATTCCTCCAACAGCCATCCCTTGGAAGTTTTGAACATAAGTCCTTTTCGGTTGGCTTGCTGAGACTTTGCACCAATCCAACTGTTATATTGAATTTTCAGCCTTTAGAGAGCAAAAGTTCTTTAACCAGTCTCATCACAGAATGCAACAGAGATTGCAACTTTCTCCAAACTACTGATCTGCCTGAAAATGCACACTAGAAACATGGAGGAGACAACAGCGTTGAGGGTAAAAAGTAAAGAGGAGTAACTGAAAACCAGCTGCCCTTCTACTCTCTACTTTACATATGAGTGAAGCTCTGCACATGGAAAGCAACATAGTATGAAGTCCTTTCTTGGTGAAGGTATAAGGGGCACGTCACAATTTTGTTAGTCTCCTTTTCCCTCAGTGACTCCCCATCCACAGGAGATTAGAAGATTCAATTGCATTTGTCTCATGGTAGCCCAGACTTGCCTGCAGGCTTAAAAGCTGCACAGAGGACACTTACTATAGTGTCACACACTTCTGAGTGGACGGTGTTGGTGAGCCTGAGACCTGGATATATATATTTTTAATATATTTTTAATATATTGCAATATATTTTTAATATCCTTTCCCAATAGTAGCGCACCCAGAGCAGCGTGTAGGCTAGCGTTGTGCAGAACCAGGTTATTAGAGGTCAGCACGGTTGCCATGCTGGATTCTGTAGGTCTTTTGTGTTAGACCGTATCTTATCTAGTTGAAAAGGAACCGTGGCAAGAACCTTTTGCTTGGTGTAACGTGAGAACCACTCCCTTCCTGGACTTTCAGAGTTAGAATTCTTGGATGGGAAAAGGTGCAGGATTTTCTGACACAAAGCAAGTAACTTCTCTGATCTGGACATCTCAAGTTTTGTCTTATGTCAGTATGTGGAAGTCAAAGTCTTCCTTAGATGGTTTTCTGCAACTGCTTTTTGCATTAAAAGCTTGAGAGTACCTCCAAAGGTAACCTTACGTTGTTCAGCGTCACCTTTGTTAAAGTCTGTGGTTATGCAGTTGCTTAAGTAGAGCATAAATGTAGGCTGCTGCCAAAAATGTTTGGTTTATCTCCCCTGGACGCGTGCTAACGTTTGTGTGCCTTGAGCTGGTCTGGGAGTTGGAGCCAGCTGAGATCCACCTTCACTGCTCTTTTGTGGTTTTTTTTACCTCCTCCTGTGAAGCTTCAAGCTGGATCCATTCCCTGATCTGCTAGGTGACACAGAGAAAATAGCAGGGATGAGCAGCTGGGCAGGGCATGGTCCTGTGGTCCTGACTTATGCTGAAGTAGTGATCACATAATCAAAGCCTAAAAGAACGTGAGGGGAGGTTTGCAGCAGTAACTGTCCTATGTTTGAGGAGGAAGTATATGTGAAACTAAGTTTGATAGAGTTCTGCATCAGTGTTGATGTTACAGGTTTTTTGTACGGCTCTGAAGAGTACGTGGTCCTGGCAGGACATTGCATTTGCTGTTTCCTGCAGCCTTGCAAAATCATACTCTTAGGATGCACTTTTTTTGCCCTGAAGTTCTTTGCAGCATGGTTGTTTACCTTTTGGACTGTAAGAAATAGTCTCTCCAGCCCTTAGGATATCTGAGCACAAAGTCAGTGTTGATAAGAGCAGAAAATATGGCTGAGTTGCAGGTCTCTTTCTGCATTTCTCAGCCCACAGAGCAGAAAGGGAACTAGTGTCCTTCCATGGATGGGTGACTCACTGGCATGTTGTTGCCTCCAGTTCTTCCCTCTGATTTGGCTGATCTGGTGCCAGGAAATCGGAAACCCACACACCCTGGTTTATGCCAAGCAGACTTGTTTAGAGTGCCAAAGAATGTAGTTTTAGAGACCGGGCACCACTGGTTTGCCCGTCTCCAGGGGAAAGCCGTGCCCCTCTGATCACCCTTTCCAGGTCTTTGCTTGTTTTTTGCATAGTGTGACCTTTACAGACAAACTGGCACCCGATACTGGCTCTAATCCCCTGTGGCTGCTTAAGACGCAGTTTACAAGCGAACCTTGAAGGGAACAGGAGTTCTTAATCCTACCTGAGGAGCAGTTTTTCACTGAGTGCTGAGGCAAGAAGCTTTACCAGACCTCAGATGATCCAAACCCCCATCTGTCCAGGTACAGCCAGCTCTCTATTCCTGAAATATACTTTGAAAACATGCCTAACTGTCTATAGGAAACAAAGCTCCCGTGTGCCCCCCATCCATGTGTCCAGTGTAGCCTTTGGACTGTGAGTGGTTGTTTCATTCTGGAAGGAACTGAGTGCCCAGTTTGTGCTGTGACACTCTCTCCTGCTATGCAGTATGTCTTTGTTGGATATGCTGGTCGGATAACCTATGTATCTGAAACTGAAGCATGTTAAATGTAGCATTTCCATTGAATTATCTGCCTCACCAAGATCTGGCAAGCAGAAATCCTCCACTGACTACTGAGATGCTGAATCTTTGCTAGGAACCCCCGATAGCTGGCTGTGCTTTGGGCTCCTACGCAGAGCCTGGGAGCAGCTCGACATCTTGGCCTTGCCGCAGCGCGTGCGCTGGCTGCACAAAAAGCTGCAAGCGCCCATTGCCTCTGCTGCTGACATTTTTAACGTTTGGGTCAGCTTGTGGAAGGAGAACGTACAGACTAAGCACCAGTGGCTGCGTCCTTCAGCAGCAGGATGCTTGAGTTGCAGACCTGGCAGGGCATTGGCTCCTGCTTTCTTGAACACCCATCTGAGCCTTGGGATCTGCTTTATGGCCTTAGTTCTTTACCTGGACTGCGAATCTGATTACAGGAAGATAATTACCTACTGTGAGCCAGAATCTGGGTGTGCCCATAGTGATTAATCGTGCCAACAGCCAACTTCCTGAGGTCCCCACATGGAGATCCTCCAGGCTGGGAGCCAGCATATCACAGGCCCAATTAGAGGCTGCAGCCAGTGTCGCTACCTGTGAGTCATGTAAAAGTAAAACTTTGATCTCGGCAGAAATAACAGGATGCACAAAGCAGTTGGACGTATCCTGTGAGGACACACCTTGTTGTTAGCTGTCCATCTGCTTTTACCACTGTGCGGGCAGCGGAAGGCTGGTCTTGGGACTTTGAAAGCACAAAATCATATACAGGAGCTTGTGGCCATATGTGCAAATTCCAGGATTACCTTGAATGATAATCCCAGCTACCCCTTT